ACACTCAAGTCAAACAAGCGGCTTTGTTAGCTCCAAAACGTCAAAAATCCTCTGATTACCTTTGAAAATCAAATAAAATTACCATAAATCTTTTAAATTCGATAATTTTCTAAACTCACACGTATCCACATCGTAAAGTTTCACTCGAACATCGCTCGCCGGTTTTCCATTGCATTGAAGGATCCCTGTTACAGCAACTGATTGCTGATCACCGTAACACAGACAAATAAAGGTAAATAGGAAAAGATATTGAAACATTTTGAGGAATAAAGATAGGTTTGGATATTTTTGGATATTCTTGAGTCTTTTATGCTTATGAGATAATGGATTCAGCCTCGTCTCAACGATCGCTTGTTGCCCCGTGAAACCGTCTAAGGAGATGAGACAAATTTTGTCAAAAACTCCAAAAAAACACGAAATGGACTTGGGTTTTGAAATTTGAAGCATTGGAAAAGATTTATTGAATAAGATCACGAATTTTTGGTTAAATCAAGTCACAAAAATGGACTCGAAGCAATAAATCTGGCATTCTTGACCACTAAACTTTTGCTAATTGTAATTTCTGGTGCACTTACTATCTTGTAAGACCAAAATACTAGACAGATGCTTGTTTTGTACTTTATTACTGTAACATACGATTGCTTCTTTATTGAAGCTTTCTTGCAAAAATAACGAGTAAAGCGCTTCTCTGAAGCAAAATGGAAGAAAGTTTTCATTGTTCGTCCAAAAGGACTTCCAAAAGGAAGAAAAAAAACTTTAACAAGTTTGTAGATATTCAAATGATATTCAAATTTGATATTCACCGAGAATATTTGTTGTAAGAGGGTGATACATAAGTATAAGTCATTCTATGTGAGTGAATGCAAAGTTTCCACTTGCTTTCAAGTAAAATCACTTCTACAACTCTGCGTAACTAGAAAAGTAGTTAATTTAAAGTTACAGCTAAAACCTTAAAAGGAATATTTTCAGGGATATTCTCGGTGAGCCGTGTTTCGGCCGTGCGTGGAACAACGGCGGCACGGCCTGGTTTTCCTGGGGAAGCATTGCTTTTTGAGGTGTTGTGAACAGATAAATAAAAGGATTCACTGATTTTACGAGGTCAATAGTCGAATGACAGACACGATTTGGGAAAACGTTGAACGATTTGTGGAAAAATTTTGTGTAACCAGATTCGAAATTTGCACTTTTCAACGATTCAAAAGTGTCTTCGACGATTTTCATCGAAAAATCATGAAAGAATTTGAAATTGTTTTTGAAGAGGGACTCGGTTGTAATGATGAAGAAATATGGCTGAGAAAGTGAAATTGATATTGATATTGAATGTGAAGATATTGAGATTTTGACAATCCACAGTCCATTTTCTGGCTATTCTGTGGTTTTTGGAAAAATCGTGTTAAAAATGATTTCTCTCAATGTGAAAATAATAGCTGAACCTACTTTTATTAGAGCTGAGATTTCTCGTTTACACAAAAATGGATTCCCATTGAAAATTGATGAAATTTTCTTAGCAATTGGTGATTTCAGTGGTGAGAATCTTTCTGAAAAATTTTCTTGGGAGAAAATGAAGGCAAATGACCCAGGCATTTGTTGAGGAATGGGAATTAGAAGGAAAGCTTGATCGATGAGAAATAAACAAGTTTTATTCCTTATCAAGAATGTAAACGTTTTCGAAAAGAAAGTCAAGAATTTTATTATTTTACTCTATTGGAATGATCACAGTTGGAATGATCACAAATTTATATTTTTCTGCCAAAAAACGAAGCTCTAGAGATTGAAAGGAATAAATTTAACTTCAAAGTTAATTAACCCGGAACTGGGTTATTCAATCAAACGATATTTGATGTCATTCGAAAGCCTGAACTGTCCTCTATACAATCAAATTTTTATGGTTCTAATTGTCAGAAATCGATCATTTTGGGGGTGTCCTATGATGGCTTTTTTAGGTTTTAAATGCAAGTGAAATTTTTATTATTTATATAAAATGTTATCACGAGTTCAATGAGCAAGTCAACAATGAAGCCATTTGGCAGCTAGAAAATACAGAGAAGTGAAAAATGGCTAGGAAACATGGATAATGTCTTTAACTAAAGAATTCGATGAGAACTGGAATTGAAATCGAATTGAAAAAAAGAGAGAAAAGAAAGAATTGAATGAAAATAAAAGAGAGATTTAGTTCAAAAGTGTAGAACTACCATCAATCGTCGTATCGCGGCAGATCCCTCAACTCATCGGTGCCCGTTTTCCAAAGATTGCCACGAGACCACTTCTCTTTGGCTTCATCCGACAAAATTTCTCTATTAAGTTTCTCTACCGAAAACACTTTTGTCACTAGTACAAAGGTAAATTCAACTGGGATAGTTTCTCGAAAGGGGGATCCGCTAATGGAAGCCACATACAGACAGCATCTATCCTCCGAGATTCGCTTTTTGAAAAGAGCGCTCCGGTTGTGGTGATAATTATCGTTCGTTGCTGAGCTCAAAATAGAACGAAGAATTGAGTTTTCTGATTTCTGACTGTACTCTAGCAAGTATTTCCGAAAAATGAGAACCTCCTGCGAACATTCGTTGCTCGCTCGCTCGACCGAATCAAAATAGGTTTCCAGAAACTCGTCGAACACCATCTTCGCCCTTTTCTCGCCGGCTTTGCGAATTTTTTGACTGTTACATTCGATTGACGATTTCATTGCAAATAACGGAAAAGGATTTCGACTGGGGATCCCTTTGTCGAGCACGTATTTCAGTGCATTCTTAAACTCGTCCCATTTCAGATTTTCCTGACAGATCACCTCGACATTCATCCTGGAAAAGGCATCCGAGTGAAACGTGTTAACGTTCAATGAAATCTGTCGACATTCGTTGAACGATGGACTGCTCATGAGCTTTTCAAAATATCCCTCAAACCCATCGCGGAATATCAAAAACTGGCAAGTATCATCGACTGTAATTCCAGCTTTTTGAAAATCACTGAAAAAGGTGCGGAAGAAAGCAAAGTTATTGCATCGGACTTTGATTTGAGAGACGAATCTCAACGACGGTAAAAGAGAAGGAAAAATATTTTCTTCTTGTTGACCATCACTTTTATAGTTTTCCTCAGCAATTAGTAACTCTCGGCAAGCTCGAAACTTTCGACTTATCAATGGAAAGATACTTCTCATCGATTTTCTATCATCTGCCAGAGTTCTCCATGAGAAGTCATAACTGTTTCGCGTCTTGAACTCCTCTCTCACACGTAAATCGTCTTGAAACTCAAGGCAGGTTTCCATATGAAACTCCTCTTGCAACTGCATACTGAATTTGCTTTCAGTTGAATAGTTTAAGTGAATTTTCTCGATTCGACGTGAGAAGAGACCACTTTTTAAGAGCTTCAATCTTTCATCTTTTGTCGCTGCCAGAAGTTTTACCCGATCCTCATAGACAATCCATTTGTAGATAAGAAATTTCAGCTCAAGTGGAAGCTTCGAATAGTAGAAGTAGGTTTTCGTGTCGAGAAATTGCCCGACTATACGTGGCATGTTTGGTGAAAAAGCAAACAACTTTGTGAACTCAAGTTTTCCTTTAGAACCCGCACCCTACCTGGTGCAATCTGAGGAAACGTTGTGAAAGAGGTTAGTGCTGAGTCAATGCCTAAAAGTGATAAGAATTTTTTTGGAAAAGCAAGACAACATCAAAATTCTTTTGCTTATTTTGAACTAAATCAATCGCTCAATCAATTAGTCTTTTGCAAAACAAGTACGGGTATCATTCATTTAAGAAGAAACAAAAGCAAATCGCTAAAAGAGGTTGAGATTGCTAAAAATTCGAACCTATAGCTTTTAGTTTTCTAACAATAAGCACATTTTTGCTTAAATTTTATTTTTGTTGAAATGAAAGTTTCAGAAAACTCGTTAAAAGAAGAAAGTTTCATAAATTTGATCTGAAAACTTTAGAAGCTCAAAATAACTGCTTAAATAGCTACTCCATATTATCGATGAAATACAGGGTGTTCCAAAAAAAGTCAGTTCAGTTCGATTTTCTCAGAATTTTCCTCTCTGTCCCTATCTTGACCGCAAAATACATACCCAATTGTGGAAAAGGAAAGAGACACTGATAAGAGTTGAACTGAAAATCTGAATTGTTCAGTCGTTTCATTCATATTCATGTCCGATACCTGGCCGGAAAGAAAACCCAAAATACAGGGTCATCAAAAAGTCAGTTTAGCTCAATTTTCTCAGAATTTCTAGTGGCTCCTGGAGGTTGTTGTAGTCCCAAAGTGAATACATATCTTGGGCTCGAAAAATTTTCATATTTTTCACTTTTTCCCTATTTCATGACTCCAATCCATGAAATTTCTGAGCCACCATGAGACTTTTACCGTAAAATTAAAACTTTCTACAAGCATCGTGGTGTCATATTAGAGTTAATACCGTAATACCTCTAATAGTAGCGTCTCTCCCAATAATTACGGTCGGAGCATCGCGTAGTCTAACTTTAAACGCATTTTTCTCGCCACCCGCTTATGCTGCAGTGTGCGCTTCAAGATCAAATGAAAGCTGAAATTCAGGGCTATTTTTTGATACCAAACATGTATTTTATAGAAATTATGGGCGCTTAGAAAAAATGATTTAGTAAAAATTTTTTGCGACTACGCGACTATACGGGGGAGAGGGCGCTACTATTAGAGGTATTACGGTATATAAACTAAGATTTTTAGCAAAACACTTTATTCATCTACATTATATGATAATCTGTTGTACATAAGAGTTCAACTTGTCTTTTTTAAAGAAGTGTCCCATTTTTTCCCAAGGAAACGCTGATCGATAAAGTGTATAGTTTAAATTTGTAGTTTTCCTAAGAGTATTTATTATGCACCATGATGCCTGTAGAAAGTTTTAATTTTATGGCAAAAGTCTCATGGTGATGATGACCGTGGTGGCTCAGAAATTTTATGTATTGGAGTCACGAAATCGGGAAAATGTGAAAAATCTGAAACATTTACCAAAATATGTATTTACTTTGGCACCACAATAACCTCCAGGGCACTAGAAATTCTGAGAAAATCGAGCTGAACTGACCTTTTTTTGGAACACCCTGTATTTCATTGATAATATGGAGTAGCTATTAAGTGGGCAAGATATAAACGATCGTTTTAGGCAACAACTTCTTTATTTCATAGAGCACAAAAAAAAGAACATTAATCCATAAGGTATTCTTCATTTTTATCGATGACTTCTTGCCATCTTTGGCGCGATTCCTTGATACCATTCTCAAAAAATTGAGGGTCCTTCTGAGCAAAGTAGAAATCAAGTGCGTTTTTGACTTGTGCATGATCATCGAAAGGTTTTCCATAGAGGAATTGCTTTAACGATCGAAACAAATGGCAATCTGAGGATGCTAGGTCGGGTGAATAAGGCGCATGTGGTGGCTCAGAAATTTCATGTATTGGAAATTTCTTTTTCCCTATCAAATAGGGAAAAAGTGACAAAATATGAAAAATTTTCCAGCCCAAAATATGTATTCACTTTGGCACCACAACAACCTTCAGGAGCCACTAGAAATTCTGAGAAAGTCGAGCTGAACTGACGTTTTTTTTCGAACACCCTGTATTTTGGGGTTTCTTTCCGGCCAGGTATCGGACATGAATATGAATGACATGAATATCATGAATATCTGAACAATTCAGATTCTCAGTTCAACTCTTATCAGTGTCTCTTTCCTTTTCCACAATTGGGTATGTATTTTGCGGCCAAGATAAGGACAGAGAGGAAAATTCAATCAAAATCAAAATATTTGGAAATGGTTTGCTTTCGATATTGATTAGAAAAATCACTTTTGATCATTATTCATCTTTGGCAACATGTATCGGATCGTCGGTTCGAATAATCTTAGCGAGAAGATCTCACCAAAATCTCTCTTAATATTTGTGAGTTTAACTAAAGTTTATTAGTTAAATGAGTCTTTTTGCTTGTACATTTTTGTAGATCGGTGCTGGAGCCATCGTTTTGTTTTTGCTGTTTGAGGTGAGAGATGGAGTGAGCGATGATCGTTATGAATTTGTTGTCGAAGAGGGAGAAACGAGAGTTTCTAAGGAATTCATCTTTAGTGAAAGTGAGGATTTGCTGCATTTGTAAGTATTGTGTTTTCTAGAAAGTGGACATTCCGAAAACCATCAAATTTCCTTCGGATTTTGTCCATGCTACTTGATTGGGATCCCATTCAATCAAGTGAGACAGAAATCAAAATCTGGAAGAAGTGTACGATAGTTTCCCTAAATTCTCCATCTTTTAGAAAACACATTGCTCTAGGAAAAACTTTAGTCAAAATTGGAGCAAAGAAAATCATGTGATTTTCAGAAAAACCTTTATCTTCGCTTCACCTTGATGACATTTTGGGTCCATACGATGTAGAACAGTATAAATTGGATGACGGAACACTGACAGGCGATGAGATATTTGTATGGTATGCGTTCTACGATCGAAGGTAATAGATTGAAAAACTCTCATTGATAAATAAATTCAAGAGATCCAGAAGGACCACGGATACGGATATTGGCGAATACAGTCTGTAAAGAGCTGAAGATAGAGGATGTGGTTGTTGAAATGAGTCCCAATGTTCGGTTAGCTTTGGCCTGGGTCGAGGTGCTTGGATGTAAGCTGACAATGAGTCTGTTGGATGAAAAAAACGAAAAACCAAGGCCTTTCGGCATTAGCCAAATGTCAAACGAAAATTGAAAGCGAAATTTTCAGCGGCTGGTTGTACTGGAGGTGTCGGTGGACATTGCCGACTGCAAGAAACTGATCTCTCAACGGTTGTTTATCGAGGTGAAATACCTGATGAGGTAAAGAAAACTTGAAATTGGTTCATTGATCACAAATTTGAGAACGATTTGTGAAACAAACAACTATCAGAAACTTTCAGATCTCGATCATCCGCAAAGGCAAGAAAGTCAAAGTGAAGTTGCACGTAATGCCCACAGAATACAAAGATGAGATCAATTCCTGTATCATTGCACCTCTATTTTGGTGGGAGTTGAGTTTTTTTGCATGAAAACTTGTTCAACTTGTTCTTTATCTAAAAATTTACGGTCATTGGTTGAATGTCAAATTCAACAATTCAAAACACATTAGTACTGGTGTCCTTGAAACGTAAATGTGAAAATTTTTAGGTACAACGACTGGCCAAGACTATTCGTTTTCTTTGAGTGGTGGAAGAGAAACAAAATCCATAAGATTCTCCTTCATATTCATTCAATTTCGGCACCAACAAAGAAAGTCATTGATTATTATGTTAAACAGGTAGTTTAAGAAATTCTTTAATATCTGTGAGAGGGTACCGATGGGGAAATGATTATTAGATATTTATTCCGAATATAACACAATAGCGAGAAAATATTCGACGGTCCCCTTTCTTTTCGTCGGTTTTCTCTCTTTTGACACTCTCTTCGTCGCTGCTCTTTCGTGGCTCGAAAATGGATTGGAGCCTCCCCTTGATCGGACGTCTATCGAGTAGTTCCAGTTGGCCTATGTGATCCACGCTGAGCAGTGCCGATTCTGGGTCGCCACTCCGAGTGGCTCCACAGAACTTCACGTACTCACGGGTCTCACCGGGTTTCGTAGTTGGACTGCGCACCAAAATGTGCAGTGCGTGAGAGGGTACTGATGGGGCAATGATTATTAGATATTTATTCCGAATATAACACAATTACTAATCTAGCGAGAAAATATAATAAAATAGAATCAATCGTTGGTTCAGTGTTTCAAAGCCAAAGAAAAGCAATACAAAGTGGCCTCCGTCCCTTTTTATCACACAAAACGATCTTTAGAGGAAGGACAGGAGAATCAGAGATATTCAAAATCAAAAAAATTAAATAAGATTTCACAGGAAAGAGCTACTTTTCTGCACAATATCTACCAATTTTTCAATTTTCAGGGACTTGTCGAGGTTCGTCCTTTCCCATTGATGCCATTTACAAAACAATATAATCCAAACAACCATGCCTATTATTCGTCTGAACACATGACGACGTTCTTTTGCTCTATTTGGTCAAACACGCAATACACGACAATGAACGATGTTGATGAGCTTTTTCATGTCGTGTAGGTAGTTTCGACGACAATTTTACCAGTCAAAGTGATCTTTGAGTCTTAAATTGAGCAATTGAGCAACTCTTTCTGGATTCCTGGATTTTTTAAGCTCTAGCCAAGCGATAGACAGAAATCTTTGACATAATTTGAATCACTTTTACATTGTCAAAGCTTGACGTAAAGATTAAACGCTTAGAGACTTTAAAAGTTTTCAGAAATTGTTCTATTTTTCAGACTTGAACTCATTGTTTTCAGAAATCGAAGCGAAACTCTTCTCGATGTGGCTAGACGACAAATGGGTTCAAATTCAAATTCTGGCGTTGGTTGGTTGGAAATTCTAATAAAGAAATAAAAAGATAAACAAAAAGATTTCCTTTAATATGGGATGCTGTATTGTCAACAAATTGCAGACAAAATTTAGGAGCAGTCGGGTTACCACACCATGCACTCGGATTTCCGGGTGGAATTGCTCCAGAACCATGGGATTTCGAGAAATTTCAACAAATGGCTTTCGTCAAAGAAACACATCCATTTGCGGAAGCAAGATCTGGAAAAGTAAGCCATTTTTTGTTTTAGATATAAAAATTAAACGCTAATTTCTTTCAGTACATCTATAAAACGAAATACGCAAAGTTACCGGGGATTCATGGGATGCGCCTGTTTTACGCCAAGAAATACTTTGAAATGGTTATTATTTTATAACTTTTGATAAATTTTAGAGTATTATTGGATAATATTAAAGAAAACGTATGAAAAAGCTTATTATAAGCCAAAAATTTTCTTCTTAGCTTCCCAAAGAGCAAGCCGTCTATCTCCATATGCGAAACGAGTTCACCAACATTTCGAAACCGCGAATCTTTCCCGATTTCAAGTTATTCGAGGTGAGAAAGTTAGGAAAGAACTTAAAAAAACTGTAAGCCCAGTCTCCTGTCTCACTAAAGTATCCCAAAAATTTGTTACCAATAATGGTCCCTGTAAAAAGTGCTCCAGTTACTGTAGCGACCTCCAACGGAACGGATTAAGGTGGCCGGACCAAATTTTAGAGTCTGAGTTTGGCAGGAATGTTATTATTGCCATCAACAAATCCTAGACTAAACAGAATTTGCAAGTTCACTTATAAAGATTGAGTCATAGAAGGCAAAATGAAACTTTTAGGATCAAGCGCTTCTCGAGATGAGTCAAATCTTGAACGAAATCTTCAGCGACGGACCACCGAGTTTCAAATTTCCAGAAACGAGGGTCAAAGTTGATGATTGTATACAAAGGTGAGGTTGAAAAGATAAAGATAAACAATTATGTAACACTAAACACTAAAAAAATAACTTTAGCTAAAAGAAAAAGAATTATGTAATCAAGGAGTAGCATTGCCCACTTTATAATCTCAAAAAATTGTAAATTGTCTTTAGGGCACTTGTAGAAATTCGGGATCAAGATTGCATCAAACCGACGGGGACAACGTGTTACGCCGCACTGAAAGATCTCGATGAATGGCTTTATGCAAAACCGATTGAGGATAGTAGATTTCTTTATGTTTGACGGGTTTCACTATGTTTTATTACAGCTTTCAATGTTTTTTTGAAATAGAATTGTGGTTCGAGTTTGATCAAAAAAACATGCCAATTTTCGGTTCTTTTTCGGCTTTTCTGGTAGAACTGTTTTTGCTTGCCTGTATGAATCATTGCAATTTAAACAATCTTGCACATTTTCTTCTCACAAGCAAGCACTTCCTTATCAGGCGAAAAAACAACATTTTTGTCTTTTTAGCTGAAAACTTTTTTAAAAATGACTTTTATTTGAATTCTATTTCTAAAATCTTTACCAAATGAGTTGAAAAATTAGGTGAGAAATTTGTTGGCCATCATTGAAATTCATTGAAATTCATTGAAATCATTGAAATTCATTGAAATTTTTTCAAGTCAATAAAGAGCTTCGATCATTCATTTATTGGACCTTTTTCTAAAATATATTCAAAATTTGAATGTCCTGTTTGAAGGTGAACAAAGAAATGAACTGAATATCGATTTATCGAAAGAAACCTTTATTGGTGCCTGATTTCTCGACAATTCAAGAGAAAGAGCGAAATATTCAGCGAATGAATGCCTTTAATTTGCTAGAATGCAGTCATTATTCTACAGAAAAAACAAATAGTAATTCTACTTCGAAGGGATAAAGAGATTTGGCCACCTTTTGAGAAGATTAGACACTGTAGGTCAATACGGATCGAAGTTGGCTCATTTCTACATTGAACTCTTTCATTGGACGATCATATTTTGCGAGAAAGATACGAATAATTCGATTTCTTCTGTACTTGAACCGATCGAAAACTTTTTACAATTCTTGGCAAAGCCAAAAAGTTTCTCGAGAATTCAAATGGATGACTGTGAACGATTGAAAGATATCATTGAGGAAAGTCTGAAATCCGAAATTAGATATTTCGTCTAAAAACAATTTTAGACGAAAACTTTTTTGATAATCCAGAGTTAAAGATTCTAAACAAGCTAGAATTGTAAGTTTTTCTCTGTTTTTCGTATTTTGTTAATAAACTTGAATTTTCATTCTAAGCAGGCAAAGTAAAAGAAAATGTTTTAATTTGTTGTACTTCAAAAAAAATCAAATTTTTGATTCAGTGGCATTTTGAATGAATTTTAAAAATTATTTTCTGTGTACCAATGTTAAAATCGTATTAATTACGTTTTGAGGGACTATTTTGAAGGCTTTGACGTAGATTCTGAGCTCATTTTCAGCCAATTTCGTAACATAAAAGGGATCTTTTTTGGGCTCAAAGCAGCTGGGTGGATTTCCATGAAAATAAAATTTGAAAAATTTACCAACAAGATTACTTTATCAAAAATCCATCACATTTGTCATTCGAATTTGATCAGATCAAAGCCAATCGTTATTTTAGACTTAAGACCATTTAACTTAACGACTTAAGAAAATGAAGTACAGCGAAAATCCGCCAACTTATGAGGAGGTGATGAGAAGGTATCATCGTCCAACTACAATTTCTGTCATCAATATTCAAAATAATGCTATACACCCGATCAATAATTGCTTTAATTGTGATGTTGAAACGGGCTTAAACAGTGAGGTCAACATTTATAATTGTTCAAGAACTTTGCACATTTTTTATTCAATCTATCAACCTAATTCTGTGAAGAATAGAATAATAATTCAAACAAGATTACGGTAGTAATATTTACTGTATCCTTCACAGAATCAGACCAAAAAGTGTTAGATTGAATTCTCGAGATTACGGTAGTAGTCTTGTTCCTAAAGTTGACACGTTTCAGAAGAAGCCTCAAATTGTGATTGCGCAGCAACCTCGAGAAAAAGGATGCACTTTGATTTACATTATGCTTTTCGTTGGTGTCTTTTTTCTAATTCTCTTGCTTTTAGTCGAGCTAGGCTCAAGAAAATCTTTGTTTTGATAAAGAGATTTTTGCAAATTTAAAAATTCCCCAGTTCTTCGCATTCAAAAGCACTTTTGAGAAAATTTAGCTTATTCAAAATAACAAAAAACACAAAAATTTAATGTAAATTTCAACAGACAACTCAATTTTCATCCTTCAAATTCATTCTGTAAGTACAGCCGGCGAATTCTGACCATCTTTGATTCAATAGGAATTGATAATAGAATGTTGTTGAAAGAGATTGGACATATAAATGCAATCCCTCAATCGATCCATTTACCTAATAGAGTTTTAATTCTTTTACAAACTAGTAGATCTTTAAAAGTTACACTTCTTGCTTAAAACTCAGATTTATAGCTGATTAAATATATTTTTACTCCGAAAAAAGCTAACTAGAACAGAAAAACGCTTCTAGTTAGCTTGCTCAATTACCCGATGATTCAAAAAAAAGCCACAATCGGGTAACGGTAACCTACCGTAAATACTGTAATAGTACCCCCTTGTACAGTCGCGTAGTCGCAAAAGTTTTTAGTATTTCATTTTTTTTTTCAAAACGCCCGTACTTTCAAAAAATGCGTCTTTGGTATCAAAAAATAGCTGAAATTCAGGGCTATTTTTTGATACCTCAGCGCGCATTGTAGCATAAACCAGTGTCGAGAAAAACTCGCTCAAAGCTAGACTACGCAACACTCCACACCGTCATTATGGATAGGCGGATATTATTACAGTATTTACGGTATTAAAAAATAAGAAATTGATTCTGTTAAACGATTCCCAAACGTTTTCTACACAAGTTTTTAACATTTTTGACCAATCTGAAGAGCGAAAAAATCGAAAAGCATTTTTTTCTCATCGGAATTTCCCGAAAGCTCTCGAATTTTTCACTGTACTTTGATCATTTTCGCGATTTGCTTAAACTTTTCAAATGACATTGTCGCGCAATTCATTTTTATTTCAAAGTTTTGGTGATTGAGATCAATTTTTGTCGATTATAGCAAAATAGACGACTCTTTTATCAAATTTTATTCAAATATCATTTCTGAACACTCTTTTTGCAAACATATCTCGAATATTTAGCGTTATCTTCATTTGAGTGATAGACCGAAGCAGTATAAGTGTTGGCCACATCGTTGCACATCTGAAATCAAGTCAAAGAAAGAGATTACTCAAAAATTCGACAAGTTCTAGTTTATTTGAAGTCTTTGCTTTAATTTTAATAGTTTTTTGGTAAACTTGTGAGCTTATTCAAATCATTTCACCATTTACCACATATGTCGCATTTGCTTCATTGTCGCGGAAAAGAAAATAGTCATCGTTTGTCCCATCCGTTCACTTTCTTGTCCCATTCACTTGGCGTAGTCCAATCCAAGCGCTGTGCATATTTGAACACCCAAAATCCGAGTCAGATAACAGAAGAAATGGCTTGAGATTGGTGATCAGCAGGTCTGGAATTAAAGCTTCGACAAGGTTCAATTTTTTTTCTTATCTTTTCTTTCGCTTTCACAATTATTTTACTACGTTTTATCTTGATTACCAGTTGAAAGTTCAGAATTGTTTAAATAATTTGAGGAACAGTCAGTAACACAGTACGTTCGCTTTTTTGAATCAAGTCTTGATAAAGAGTTCGTTTTGCCGGTAGTTCAAATCCGTCAAAAAAGGTTCACAGAGCTGTTTTTGATACAACTTTTTTGTTTTCCACTGGCTTTCTTTTGTTGGAGTTTTGATTTGATAAGAAAATCAAATAAGTTTAAGTAAAAATAAGTTTATCTAACGAGGAACCGGCACCAACTTAAGGTGGAGTTCAGCCTATAAAATGATACCCTGGTAAAGTTTGACACGGGGAATCCGAATCCGTCTCTAGTTTTTCCTGCGGACTTCTCAATCGCCAGATCTTTGGCATCAGCGTTTTTGCATTGGAATTTAAAGCTAAGAAAACACTCCATCAGTGGAGTCGAGGTAACGCAGTGGATTCATAGGGAAACGATCATAGTTCGGGTCCGGTTAGTGCGCTTCTAAAAGACCTATGCGGTTCTAAAAGACCTATGCATAATGTAAAATGCAGCTAAACTAATTTAGATACTCATTTAAAATTGTAACCTTACTCTAAAACTCAATTTTCAACACAAATCGAAATCGAAATAATGAAGGAAATATTACCCAGTGTTTAACGAAAAATAATGCAGAAAGGCTTTTTAATGGAAATCGATTGCAAAATGCAAAATGTCATTTAAGAGAGAAATGTGAATGCTATTCAAAAAGATTTGAATGTTCAACGAAAAGGACTACGAGCCTAAAAGCCACAAATTAAGCATTATAAAATATGGATTAAATGTACAGTACTGGACAATGAAATATCATATTTGAAAAACGATCGTCACTTTCGCGCGTCTGTAACTTCCTTGTGTTTGAGTTTAAACTATTAGTGTTATACATTTTCTGAAAGCTCTTTTCAAGGGCTACACAATGGTAATATTAATATTTAGAAATATGGTATTTTTTGACGCATTTCAGCGCGCACAAGATGGGATACTCAAAATTGTTGATTTTCAAAGCCGTTTTTCTTTATGATAGAGTGCTGGAATCGCTCTGAAACTATGATTTTCGGAATCTAGGCAAAAATTTACCTTAGAATCATCAATATTTGTAAAATTTTATCACAGTTTCATAGCGAAAAAAACCACATTTGCGAAATTCTCACTTCTTGAGCGGTCAAGCGAGGAAGAAGCTGGAAAACAAATATTTAACAAAATTGTAGTTAAATTAAAAAGTAACAAAAACAGTAACAATAATGAGAAAACCCCAGAGCACACAATGGGCTTTCAGTATTTAGTAGCAAATTCTTTAGCGTCGATTACAGCTTGACATCGCCGAGGCATTGAATCAAGAAGATTAGTGATGAAGCTGACGGCGATTGAATTCCAAGCCTGCTCCAATTGTGCAAACCTCTCATCGGCATTGCCGGCTTTGAGATTCTTAGTTCGTCGCTCAAGTTTCGACTTTTCGAACTTTAGATCGTTATAGAAATCTGGAGATGGTTGACTGAGAGACGGTAAACTGTTCCGATAACTGGTTCTGGCTAAGACCTTGCTTTTTGCCGTTAAGGATTGCTTGTTGTGTAAGCACATGAAGATCCTTGCATCCTCGTTGCTTTTCCATTGCTCCTAAAAACAGTAATTATTATCATTTTACCCAAGGCAAAGAAAGAAAAACATTCAAAGTTGCACGCAACACAATTTTTGTGAAGAACCGCTCAAGAAGTGAGAATTTCGCAAATGTGGTTTTTTTCGCTATGAAACTGTGATAAAATTTTACAAATATTGATGATTCTAAGGTAAATTTTTGCCTAGATTCCGAAAATCATAGTTTCAGAGCGATTCCAGCACTCTATCATAAAGAAAAACGGCTTTGAAAATCAACAATTTTGAGTATCCCATCTTGTGCGCGCTGAAATGCGTCAAAAAATACCATATTTCTAAATATTAATATTACCATTGTGTAGCCCTTGAAAAGAGCTTTCAGAAAATGTATAACACTAATAGTTTAAACTCAAACACAAGGAAGTTACAGACGCGCGAAAGTGACGATCGTTTTTCAAATATGATATTTCATTGTCCAGTACTGTATATGAAAAAAACGTTTTTTAATCTAAATTCTTAATCGGAATCAGATCAAGGTACTTTCTCTATAACGGGGATTTCTGCACCTTATTTAGACTCAGTAAATTTGTTTTTCTGTGTGTTTTCTGCGCGTCACGTGATTTCTGGTCCCTTTAAAAAAAAGATGAGCCCTATACATACATAAGATGAACTTTTAAACAAACTTTTGACGAATTCCCGTTCATCATTGTTGTGAATTGAGACAAGATGACCGCCCATCAATTGACAATTATTCTCAGATTCCATCATTGTGAACAGTTTTGAGTCAACGACATTATTGCTAGTGAAATTCTGAATCACTTTGGGTTCCGATCAAAATTCTAAACCAACTTGTAAATGGTAACAGAAATTCGTTCCTTGAAAGAATACCCAATGTGAATCGCATTTGTTTTCCGAATTTGGCAAGGGGCTTTGGTTTTGAAAGTAGGATCGTCTAAAGTTTGTATTTAAAGGTTTCAAGTTTCTAAACCTCTTTTTGCAGACAAATCCATCGGGTACAAGTTGTGGATCGGTTGGTTTCTCATTCTCCAAGAAGTACCAGACTCCTTCTGACCCAGATTGTTCGCATCGGATACATTTCTGAAAAAAATGGTTTATAACTGGTTCTTGATACTTTTAAGACACAAAACATTAGGAATTACAAAAGCTGGTTTGACTTGTGCTTTCAACAAATGAGGCTTCAAAACACCATTGAATATTTGATACATCGAACCACTCAAGTTCAAAGACTTGTCCGTTAATTTATTGTCTACTGGACTGTAAACAAGATTCTTGATCTAGAAGTGCTATAAAATATTATTACATGTGTTTGTCTCTAAATGTAAAAGGTTACGGGCTAAGTTTGGGTTAGGCTAAAAAGAGTGGAATTCTTTGATATCCTGCCATCTCTAACACTTCGACAATCCGACTCAACTCCTCGCTGTAAAATGGTTGACCTGAACTGCAGTTGCATAGACCCAAGGTATGTACATGTTTTATTGAAAGTATTACGATAAAAGAATAGATTAACCCTGAGTGGAATGGGAAGGGGATTCCAAGTGAAAGGCTCACTTGTTCTTCTAGGCGATCCCAAGGACCGATCCCTTCTCGGCGATTAAAGGCATAAGCAAAGGGGAGATCACATTTACGTAAGAATAGATTAAACGTTTAGCAATAATATTAGTGACTAAAGTATCTGTTTAGCTGAGCTGACATACATACTTTTTAGTAAGTTTGAAAATGTTAGACTAAAGACTCAGTTCTCTCTCAAAAAGCCAAGATAAAAGGAATTTTCCAATCTCTCAAAATCTTCAAAACCCAACAACTCACGGCTCCAAACGGGTGTTTCCAATCTTTACTAAATGTCGGATCTTTTGTCAAATTCCCTGGGCTCACAACCCCGTTATCATAAACATTCTCAATAGTGCCATCTTCCCATCGACGAAGACTCATCAGTTCCTGGAAAAGATTTCGAATTTCATCCATCACTTTTCACAAACATTCCACGCAATTCCAATCCATATTCTTGTAATTTCTTGATTTTCTGAGGCCAATTCTAAATATTTACATAAACAACGGGTAATAGTAAGATTTTGGTACCCAAAACAAACTGATCTTCAACAAAAGATCTGATCGAAACGAGATTCGCTTGCTGATTTTGGCAAAATCTTTTCGCCAAGCTTTGAGTGATTCTTTTTTGAGGCCAAGCCTGGAATTGTTTGGAATAAATTTACCCTAAAGTCGCGAGTATAAGTTCCGTTTGGTTTTCGCATCCAAATTGACGGCTGTCTCCGGTGCGGTGTGTCGAGGGTTCGAGCCCCGCTGCAGCATAACTTTTTTGCTTTTTAAGAACAAATAGAAGTAAATTTATTGATGGTTATAGCAATTTTAAGCTGTTATTTGTTGCTCCGGGCGTGGCTCGGCGCGTCCGCCCTTAGGGTAAGTGTAAGTCACCTTATAGCAAAATCCAGTATCCGTATCAGAGAGATAGCTCCATCCGCTCTCGCATTTCCCCTCAGTTTTTGGAAGTTTGGTTGTACTCTCAAGAAAGGCAACAGGGGCGAGCAATAAGGCCGGGGCTTGGAGTTGATTTCGGAGGGTACTAAAAGATTTTGTACGGAATTTGAATCTGATTCTTATCGCAATTCTTAAATCCAGCCCAATGAACATCAAAAAGCCAAAAACTCACACTGAATAGATCAAGAGAAATGTGATGTAAATGACGGATCCGAAAGAAAAAGCACTAACAGCCAGCAGTCCAAGCGATAATTTGAACACCTTTTTCTCTAACTTTTTAATTCGATCTACATCCGATCCACTAAAGATTCGTAATATAATTTTAAAAGTTAAACCAAACTGCATAGAATAGTCCGGTTTCAAAGAAAAATCCATAAAATAATGGTTTTCAATTTAGAGAAAGCTGGTTCAAAGTTATTTTACGAAAATATCAGTCAACGAATCAATATTGTCGAAGCGGAACTGATCCCTTAGAGGAACTGTGAAAGGGATCAGAGGGATCAGATTGCAAAGATTTCACTTTTTCGAGAGAAAACTTGCACAAATGATAAATAAAAATGTTTCTGTTAAAGTGGATGTGTAAAGATGTGTAAAGATTTGAAACTTGAAAAACAGTTTCACTATTGTTTAAGCCTACTGTTTAGAACTTTTCTCCATATGGACTCATTTCGTTCATTCAGTTCGATACGTTATCGCTTGCAACTGTTACTTCAGAAATGTTAACACTTTTTTTGACTTACCCAATGCGAATCGATTTTGTTGAAAGTTAGCTTTTTTCCTTCTCGACCCTGCGCTTCCAATTTTTCAATTTTTCAAATCTTTGTTTGACCAAAATCGAATCAAGCCCGACATTTTGACAATCGTCAAACCTTTTAAACTCGTTCGTGTTGATATGACAATCGAAAACGCCGAGGAGAGAGGATTCTGCAAGATTTCTCATCTACTCAAGGATGAATTTTCATCTAAAAGTGATGTAACTGTTTTGTTGACAAATTATGGAAGTTTTGAAGAGTTCACTCTGGCAAAAATTAAGGAAAATGCATCGATTGTTGAGTTGAAAGGTGAGGATTTGAAGAGAAGATTGAAGATCAGCTGATTGATTGAAGATCAGCTGATTGATTGAAGATCAGCTGATTGATTGAAGATCAGCTGATTGATTGAAGATCAGCTGATTGATTGAAGATCAGCTCAATGATCAGCTGATCATTGAGCGAGATTTAAACTTGAAGATCGGCAATTGTTCTCTATTTTTTGAAAAACAATTCCCAAAAAATCTTGCTGGATAGACTTTAAACCTTTTGTCTGGTATTGAAAAAAACGCTAGGTTTAGCATGGGAATTTCTGTAGTCTGTAGTTTTGATAGACTTTTATGCAGCTCTTTTCCCTTTCGCAGTTGACTTTTGCACGAACTTTTCACAAAGTTCAATCAATATTTGTCGTAGCTTTCCTACCCAAATCTTCAATATTCTTTGCAATATGTCTTACCGAAATTTCCCCTGTAATCTACCAAAAGAGCTCATGGATTTAGCTTTAAATCGAAGCGATATCCAGACGAGTCTAAATTTCCTCAAAGTCAACAAATCTCTACGCAACTTTATGCTCAATTTTGGTCCGTTCTACAAAAAGCATTTGACTGAAATCGTTGTGCACAGCTATGCAGCAGTTCCTTTATCGATTGAAATCGAAAATGTTCACAAAATGACTTATTCAACGATGAGCAAATGTCTCTTGATCAGACCGGGCTTCGGCTTGCCAATGATCACTTTCCCCTGCAGCTATGGTCTCTCCATTTTAGAGAATCTTTTTCGTCACAATTCTTTCCGATGTCTACAAGCTATTTACGGTAACTCCGCCGATTACATAAAGGACTTTTCAATGAGGATTTCATTTGTCGAAGAATTTTATGTTACCCCAAACGATATTTCGAATTTTCGACGCTTCAAAACTCTTTTTGATCACTTTCATCCAGTAATCACTAATCGCTTTTCAATTTATTTTGATGATTCATTTCCATTTGTGGATGAGGGAATTGAATATTTGACTGAGAAAATGGAATTGATATGCGCCGAGGTTGAGATTTTGGAAATCACAAATCCATTCAAAAATTTTTGGAAAGTTTTTCAAAATACTGGTTCAAAAAGGATTTATCTCAACCTGAGCGTTGACAATAATGAAGATTTTGCTGAAATCGAGATTTCTCGTTTACTCAAAAATGGAATCCCATCGAAAAGTGTTGAGCTTTTCTTCAGGATTTCTGAATATAATGAAGAAAAGAGTTTAGCGAAATCTACCCTAGAAAAGATTGGAGAAAATGAATCATTTGTTGAGTTGAAAGATGAGGATTCGAAGAAGAAGTTGATCGTTGAGAAATATGTCGACTTGGAAATACCCGAGAATCTCGAGTTTGTCTTTATCAAGAATTCTAAAGTTTTTGAGAACAAATCCAAGAATTTTATTGTTTTACTTGATTTTAATGTTTATAATTACCAAACACTTTGTATATTCTTTTTTCGTTTAAAACAGTGCCTAAAATAAATACGATTTAAACAAGTTAAAACAATAATTTAAACAAGTTAAAACAATACCAACAATTAAAACGCACGAAAGTTCGACAGAAAGTATCAATTGGTGTATTTAAATTCTATTTAAGCTCATGTTTATTGGGGTTTGGTCTGATTTGTTAATTGTTTATCTACTGTTTTATCTACGAATCGGTCGAGGTGAAAAAAAATGGAACAATGAAAATTATTCGCCATTTAATTGAACTTACAACTTGTAAGTTAAAGTTGTAAGTTAATTGAAATTACAACTTCATTACAGTAGATTAAATTATAGGGACATGCACATAAAATGTGAGTATTCTTTGAAGAAGCGCTTTTCAACCCAGGTTAATAGCAAACCCTAGGATCTTCAAAGATCAGAAAGCCCTATCTTTTCTTTACAAAACATCTTTTGAGCCAGACGGGAAAGCTTTTGTTTTTACACGTTTTCAAATAATTAAACTTAAGCAGTCAAAAATGGGCTGATGGAGAGTTGATCATTTAAAGATTTCCATCCAACAAACCTACTTTGGTATTCAAATAAAAAACGTAGAGTGTTTAGTTACTTCTACACTAAAATTTCCAAATCAATCTATCCAGTCATTTTCTCTGAATGATGTTTTATCGGTTTTTAACGGAATGTGGGTATGATCCCGCTTTTTGATGATGGGTATGATGATCCCGCTTTTTATTATAGATTTCAGACGAATCTGCTGAAGATCTGTAGAAGAGGGCTTTTATATAAAACTGTTATGGCACTTCGAGCTCGCAACATGGATAAGAAACAGCTGACCATTTAACAAACCCTGTCATAGCATGTGCATTGACACTATGTATTAAATAAATTGTTAGAAGCTGTCTTTTGCAATAAATATAGAAAATTGTGCACAGTCAACAAGTTACAATTTCACTGCTTATGTACATACAGGATGACTACAAAAGTTCGGAGTCATCTCGTTTTTAGAAAACTTTTTGAAAAATGGTTTAGAAATTGAAAATCTAGATGAAATTTCGATCTAGAAAACGTTATTCCGCAAAAAAAAGAACCTTCTCATCGAGTGCAAAGACCTATTTTCTTAAGTGAAACAACAGCTAAAAACTTGAAATCCGATTACAACTTTTTATAGCTATAATTTTTGCATTTCAACTTCAATCAACCTGAAATTTTTCTATTCGTCTAGAAAGAATTTAAAAAAAATCGGATTACTTTTGACTAACTGGGCTTAATTAGAAACTTCAGAAAATTCAGATGGTTTTCGAGAGAAACTCAAGCGGTGAGGCATTTGGGCTGATTCTGGCGATATATTGCCAATTAAAAGACTTCATTTTGGTTACAAAGCCTTAAATTTAACACAAACTTGCTAGAATTACAAACTTTTATAAGAATATTCAGCATTGGATGGTTTTTTGTTATCTTAATAGCTGACGACCGGAAAATAAGGTGGCTCCGAACTTTTGTGTCACCCTGTGCAATCGTTATTTGAGCCAGTGCCGCATTGATCATTTAAAAATTGATCAGATCTTTGCCAAATGCGATTTTTCGATTTCATTTTATTGTGCTGATGTTCAGGATTCCAAAATTAATGATAAACATATCTAGGTACTTGTTTTACCTCCTAATGGCAAGCTTATAATTCGACTATAAGTCACATCTTACGATCCAAGCTTTCCTTTACTTTTGTTTTTTCAAAGAGTTGTCAAATCAATAAATCAATTAATTGTCAGTTAACACCCCGTTTACAAATTTCCCCAAATAATTTCCAACAACCAAGCAAGGATTGAGAAAATTGGAGTTCCCAATGGCGACGACAGATGAGAATAGATCTGCTTGGTATCACTCCTGATCAAAGCTGATCATTCATTTCATTTCCATTTCATCTCTTCTTTTCTTTCTCTAAATTCTCTAAATACTTTATTTTCACTTGATTTATTATTTGTTTCAGACTCGATTCGAAATGCGATCTCCAACTGCTTACCCCGGTTTGGATCTCTGCGAGATCGAGTTCAAAGGTAGATTTTAGACGTTAACCCCAAGCTTTTAATAGTTTGAAACCTTTTGAGTAATTCAATACATTACAATAGTTATTTGTTACTATTTCAGCTCCGTTCTTTGGCAAGACGACTTTGATGGTGTCCTTGATGAATCCCTCTCATCACCCCATCTCCTATCGTGCGCGATTCGTTGACAGAGCGAAATGTGGAGAAGCTGAGCATCTCACAATGGAGTCGATGATTGGAATCGTGAGAGGAAGTGGGTTCAAATTGTCATTGTTGTATAATTCATTAGTTAGGCAAGATTACGGTAGTTTTTGAAAAATGATACAATTTAGAAAAAAATCTGATTTAATAAAAAAGATACTTTATTTAAATGCGTCGTTTTTTAAAAAGTGAAATTCTTTGAAAGCTACCGTAATCTTGCCTTAATTTTGAATGCAATGTGTTGATGCCGAGCATTTTTAGCAATTGTAAGGCAAAAAAAACTCTTTTCACAGTACCCAAAGTTATTTGTTAGCTTAATTTTCCTAATTCAGATGAGCGGAAAGAGATCCCAATCATCTTGGATCCAAAAATTGATGGAGCTTTTGTTCAACCCGGTCATCCCGATTTCCTCTACTTGGAAATGATCTTTGCTCCACGATACGAAAATGTGGATTTGGAAAAGTTTTGGAAAGTAAAAAATGAAGCTAAACTTTAAGAAAAAAAGCTCTATTTCCAGTTGATTCCTCGCATCAAGATCGATGGCCAAAGATTGTATGGGGCGACCGTTCAAGTCACGAAGATTTTCCCAATCAATTACATTTATCCATCTACAGCTGAGGTTTGACAACTTTTAAAGATACACAATCACAAATATACATTTTGTGCATTGCACAAAATTCAAAATTAACGCAAGATTGCGGTAGCTTTTGAAAAATTTTACCTTTTTCATTTAAACGACGCATTTAACTAAGACATATTCTAATTGACTAGAAAAGGAAAGGAAAAGAGAAAAGGAAAGGAAAAGAGAAAAGGAAAAGAGACTAGAGAACGTGATGTTTAAAATCAAATGATTAAAGGCTGAATGCTAAAGCATTTAATGCCATCTTTCGAAAACAACCGTCCACTCGTTATACCGTGAAGTTACTTCATCTTCATATTATTTTCCCTTGGGATACTGTGATGAAAGCTGTCTTTTGGCTCACTACAAGTATTCAATCATTCTGAAAGAATACTCAATCTTATAAGCTGAATATTTTAGTCATACTGTAATAAAACAAAAGAAAATCTGTGTACTTATTCTATCTCTTTTCATTCAGATTGTCCCAGAAGAAACGGCAAAAGAAAAGGCTCGAATTGTGAATGGAAAGCCATTCAATTACTATCAAGACATTTGGAGATGGAGTAAAAAGGAAAAGACGTGGAAACCCGCGGAGGACAGTGAACAGCAAGAGGTAAAGAGAATTTGAATCAAAATGGATAATGGTTAAAAATTATTCAAAACATATGAGATTCTGTTCTAAAGTTACTAAATGAAACTTATTCCAGACTCCTCAATCGGCTGACCCTGAATTGATGGCTCATGAATCTGCGCTTCCAAAATCAGCATTCGATCAAGTTTGGGAAGGAATGGTTAGTAAATTGAGTAAATTGAGTATAACTAGTTTTCTAAAGCTTAACCGGATCATACTAGTCCAAATTGCTGCCCAGGACTTTTCAGAATGATGGTAAATCTAAACAAACTGCTCTAGACCGTTCAACCATCAACTTCTCAATCACCGCTTCCATCTGAATTCCATGAATCACTTGGTATCTGGGAGGAATTGGTAAGTGATATGAGCTCGAGGAATTTTAGCTTTTTCATTATATACTTGTTAAGTTAACCCTGGAAATAGCTAAACAACTGTTTTTTAGATTCGATGTGAAACGCCGACTGCTGAAGTTCCGATTGAAGAACTCATGGCTTCATTCGTCAATGATCCGATGTCAATGATTGATTGGATGAACTCAACACTCACTGTGAGAAATCGATCTCCAGCTAAATCAATAAACAAAGCTGCTTTATCTCGTCAGATAGTACTTCTGATGGACTTGAAGAAACAAGACAAAACTTGATTACTTGCTTATAACTTTAGTACAGTTGAACTTTAACCATTCTAAAGCTTTTATTCAGAATGTTTCCGAAGAAGCTGAGAAGCCAAATGCCGTGAATGTTACCGAAAAGAACTTCAATATTTATCAAAACATCTGGAAATGGGATAAGAAGGATAAGACGTGGAAATTGGCGGATGATAGCGAGCATGAAGAGGAAAAAGAACAAAAGGTACTTGATTAAGAATGGAAAATTGAAATGGCATTACCTTGTGGATAAATGCACCATCTAGCGCTTACCATTCAATTCGATAATACTAGAAAAAGTTATTCAATCATTGAATTTCAGGCTTCAAACTCGAATCTCCTCGACACGGCGTTCATTTCGGAACCAACTTTCATCGAACCAATGATTGCTGCTATTGGGACTGAGGTTTTGAAGGTTTGATTTTAAATCAAAAGGCTAACTAATAAAATACTAGTGTTATAGGACTTACAATCTTTCTTTAAAGATCTTTGTATCACATTAATCAATCAGCTTTAGCCTTCAATCTTCCACAATGCCGCCATCTCAAGCCCCACAACTGCCTTTGAGCCAACTGCTTCTATTGGAAAGGAAACACTGAAGGTTGGATTTTCAAACAGGAAATATTAAAAGCTATGACAACCACAATTTATATGACAATTTGCATATCATCTTATCCAATCAGTTTACCTTTAGCCTTCAACTGTCAGCCTTCTCAATGCCATCTTGAAGTCTTCAACTGTCGCCGAGCCTACCGTTGCCCCTATTGAAAATAAAATTTTGAAGGTTGGATTTGTATGATTTGCTTGAGTGCTTTCAAATCTAACTGTAGAAAGACTAAATTTACCGTGTCCTGGTCTATCTTATTTGTTCAGATTGCCTCAAAGGAATCAGAATCAAGCGCTCAAAGTGCAAATGTTGTCGAGAAGAAGCCATTCACCTATTACCCTTACCAGTCCAACTGGAAATGGGACAAAGTAGCAAAGACTTGGACACGAGTGGGCTTCAGTGAAGAGTCAGTTGTGGTAAGTTAATCAGTCAGTTGAAGTTGAAGTCATGAAGAAATCACGAGTCTAATAGAAAAACTTTTTTCAGGTTGCCACAAAAAAGGACGAGGCTTTGACGACTGAGGAAACTGCTGGTCAGGATGAAGCTGTGAAGGTAAAAAACGAAATGAAAACAACTTTTAAGGAAAAATTTAGATAAAAGAAATAATTTTGCCTTTAAAAGGCTAAGAAGATCTTGATTTGCAAGTAATAGACTTTTTCTTTCAGATTGCCGCAAAAAAGGATGAGGTTTTGACCAATGACGAAGCTACTGAACAGATTGAAACCATAAAGGTAAAAAGTTTGCTATAGAATGAATAATAGGTTATGGTTGAATTGAATAAAACAAAGATTAAAGAATTGTTGGAAAATTTGTATCTCCAGGCTGTTGAAATCGAGGAGACACCAAAGGAGAATCCGGAGAACAAGGAAAAGGAAAAACTCAACTATCTTCTCAAGGCGGCATGGTCACGAGCTGAGAAGAAATGGAAACTGGCAGAGAAGAGAAGAAAGGTTGGTAGAAAATAATATTGAGTTCTAAGTCTTATTCTACAAGTCTAAGCATTTGACAGAATAACTAGACTCTGCAAAATCCTCTAATGCAATAGAAATTTAGTCTTCTCCGGCCGATATTTTTAAAGCGCTCGGAATTTCGGTGACCATCGCTGGACAGGAGAATACAGAAGTAAGAGCAACTTCAACATTGAATGAAATCAACAAATAGAGATCATAAATTTTGAGCAATATCTTTATTTCAGAAGTTTCAGATTGTTGAAGAAATGGCCTCAACTTCAGCTCCTCAACAGCTTAAAGTCAGCGAGAAGTCGCTCGAATCGACCCATTTGATCGATTTGGAGTGGGAAAAAGTTGAAAAGGATGAGCGACAGGTTCGTTGAAAACATTAATGAATTAAAGTCTTCAAAGATTTTTATTTTGACTGATTTAAATCAATGATTGCTTACAGGGATCCTCGAAGGCACTCGATGAGAGCGATGATGAGAAAAGCTCGGAATTTGAAAGTAATTCAATTGAAAATTATAAATCTTTTTGAATCTAGTGAAAAATTCACAAACTCAGAAGCTTGAGGAGCATAGCATTACCAGATTTCCTGATCTGATAATAAACTCAACATTGCTAGAACTAGACCTTGAAGCAATAAAGCTTGATTCGTCTAGAGAAAGGTTGAAAATTAAAGCCAAAGTTTTTACAGACTGATTACGTTAGTATTAGCCGGTTATTACTCTTCGAAACCCAATTAATCATCACTCAATTTCAGTTCTTTTTGTGGGAGGCGATTGGATTGAGGTGGCCGACCCACTTGATGCACACCGACTCGTCTGACTTGTCTTGGCGATTGCTGCCTACTTGTTATTGCTATATTGTTTTTACTACTTGCTGATTGTTTAGCTAAAACTTTGTAATCTACAAATTGTTAAGTTATTTATCAAATGTTAATCTTGTTGCAGTTTTTATCTAAAGTAAAGTGTTCTGTAAATGTCAAATGAAATCTACAAACAATTTACATTTCAACGTGCTTCGAAAATGTTGAAATAAGTTTCAAAAATTGGATTTTAAGCTTTTGAACTAAATTTTAATTCTCGGAAGAGTTTCTTTGGAAAATTTTATGAACAGTCGTAAGGGATTTTCTCACGCTGGGCGGCTTTTGAGCGATTGCTGTGAGCACACGCCGAGTCGGCTGCGCCAAAGTTGTTGAGCTTCTCGAGTGAGCCATCAGATCCAATTTTGAGCGCCTGCTTCCAAACCAGTCGCCGAGAAACTTTGATTTTCTTTTTTTGCTGTTTATGGATCCATTTCAGCAACTCGTTTTCTTGACGATCGCAAAACTTCTCGAAGCCGGTTCAACTTCTCGACATCACCGGAAAATAAAAACATTATTTCTTGAAACAGACAAAAATAATTAAGAAACAAAAACTAAAAATTAGACATCTTACGAATATCTGGCTAAACCTATCATTTTTGTTAACAAAAACGCGATGTCTTGAGCAAATTACCTACTTAGTTACGCGCTTGTTTTAACAAAAAAAACACCGTCATGGACAAAAGTCTTGGCGGCTCCTGGGTGGCAACTTTCAAACGCAAATTTAGGAACCTTTCCGAGAGGCTATAAAAAAGTTTTCACAAGTATTTTTGAGCATTTTTACTCTACTTTTATCTATGACCAAGCATTGAACTCGAAAGTTTATTTTAAACAACAAAAATGAGCGTAAACGACAAAAAGGTCACAAAAACAATGGACAAAAGTCTTGGCGGCACAGACATAGAGGCGAAAAATTCAATATTTTGTAGGTCCGCCTTTAGCTGCAATGACCGCTTGGAGCCTCCGGGGCATACTGTCAACTAGATCGCGTAAAATTTGTGGCGCAATTGTCGCCCAAACTCGCCGTACGAAGTACCAAAGATCCGCCTTAGAGTTAAACCGTCTTCCCTTGAGTTTCGTCTTGATAAACGCCCATAGGTGTTCAATAACATTCAAATCGGGGCTGTATGGAGGAGCTGAAACCAGTTGAACACGATTTGCGCGGAACCATCCGGGTAGGTGAGCTCTTCCTCCATTAGCAAGTCGAACAGTGCGGCCCATAAGCAACTGACTCTTGAATAACGGCCTGCATCTCGATACCAATTTCATCCGAATGATCATGACAGGAAAAATTTCATGTAGACCTGTTTTTCAAAATATTCAGTCGAGAAATTTCAGCTAAATGACTATTCTTGGGAAACAAGGCGTCTCCTGGGTACTTATAAGACCAAAAAAATACTCGAAATTTTTGTTTACTCTTCAAGGTGCACGCATTCTTAGATAGCCAAAGACACATTTTTAACGCAGAAAGTAATTGTACCAACGAGGAAACGGTTTGAGCTCAATGCTCAGAATTGTTATGAAACTGTATGGGCCTTAGAGAATCGATCATGCTGATCAAAATGAGCTAAAAATTAGCTGCCAACAACCACGTAAAAGCGAGATATTGGGTTGGTGAATTGAAAACTGCCGGCTATTGTCATATGTGATAGTTTGAGCATTTTCTTCAAAAGAAATCCATTTTGGTGTCAATGGAAAAGTTGTAGAGAATCAAAAATGAAGTTTATATCCAAATTTTCAGAACGATTCAAAAACTGGTTTTCAAGAAATGCGAAATTTACGAATTTTCACAAAACTTGCATTTTAAGCGAAGCTACTAAGTGTATCTTTTTGGAATTTTGGCTATAAGCCTAATTTTTGACTCTCTACCACTTTTCTATCGACACCAAAATGGGTTTCTTTTGAAGAAAGTGCTCAAACTGGGACATCTCCAGTCCTCCATTTTTGAGTCTCGCACTTGTCTCACACACAAACCAAAATCCTACTACGAAAGAGGAATCCGCAATTGCCTGTAAAATGGGCAGAAGCCGTCAATAATAATGGAAATTATTTGGAATGAATTTATGGTTTTATGTTGAATAAATTTTAGTTCAAAGTCCGGCAGTTTTCAATTCACCAACCTAATACAGCGAACGGTTGGGAAAGGTGAATGAATCCCTGAAGAAGAATAGGCCCTCCAAGTCAAAGATCGTTCTCATCCACGACAACGCGCGCCCTCATGTTGCAAAACTGACTCGCTCTAAAATAAATAGCCTTGTTTAGGAACTTTTGAAAAAAAAAAATTCCCCATACAGTCCGACCTCGCCCCTTTTGATTACTATTTATTCCGGATCATGAGTAATGAGTTTGCGGGAGAACGCTTCGATTCGGAAGAAGCAGTCAAAAATTGGCTTTGGAAGTTTTTCGATTCGAAACCAAAATCCTACTACGAAAGAGGAATCCGCAAATTACCTGTAAAATGGGCAGAAGTCTTCAATAATAATGGAAATTATTTGGAATGAATTGATGGTTTTATGTTCAATAAATTTTAGTTCAAAGTCCGGCAGTTCTCAATTCACCAACCCAATATTTGACATAAAATTTTTTATGTAATTTCCATAAAAGGCTATTTTTTATTTGTTTGATGTTTGTTTAAATTATTAGAAACTTCTCCACTCCTGGTTGCGGAGTGGAGAAGAGAATAGTATACAAGGCGAGTATGATTGTTGCCGAGTTTGACTGGATTTGATTCCCACTAGAACATTTCTTTTACTATTTATGATTTTTGCTTTGTTTTTTTAAATTTTTTACGCAAAATCATTTATTAAATCAAAAATACAAAAGGATTCAACTACAAATTAAGTAAAGTTTTTTTAAATAAACAAAGAACAGAAAATCACAAATCGTTTTTACTTCATAAAATGCAATTCTAATGTCAATAGCGATTGAAATAAACGAAAGAAACTCTTAGAAATCAACTTCAACACTTTTCTTTTTGCTTTGAACAAATTTAGACAAAGATTGCTCAAAAATCTCATCGATAAAAAGCAATATCTATTTCAAAAAGACAAAAACGAAATGATAAACGGCAAAAAATGCTTTTTTTCACTTTTCCTTTGTTAGCTTTCATCTTTTAAGGCTTTCAAGGGAAAAAAATCAGTACTAATTTGAAAAAAAGCAATTATTGCAGTCTATTTTTGCCAACATGTTGCCAGTGTTTGTAATTTTGGTTTTAATATCTGGGTAAGTTATTTGTGTTGCAATGAAAGCTTGATTCTTTCAGAACTCGTGCAGACTACGACTTTCGTGGAAGAGATTATGTTCGGCAAAAGGCTGAGCGACTTGTTTTTGGGGTGGCTATGGTTTGTCTTGAGGCGCTGCTTTAGCTCATATTTTAGCCACTTTTGAGTTTGTATTGAACTACCGTAATTATACTACTGACAAATAAGTCAGCTATATCGACAGCTAAATTTCGACAAGAATTTCGTTTTGTCAACTTTGAATATGCGAAGTGGCCCAATTATTAGGTTGTTCGGATAAAAACGAGCGTTTGCACTGCTTAACTCGTGAGGAAGCCATTTCCCGTATCTGATCGCCTTTCCAATGGCGTGGAGATGCTAATCAATGGTAGAATTTGAACATAGAAAATGTTGAGCAAGTTCAGGCGTCGTTTGACATGGATCCGATTCGATTGCAGCCCTCAAAATATCATTGTCTCCCGCTTGAGGTCGACGAGAGTGTTCATGATGCTCGAGACTTTCACCACCATTCCGAAAGCGTTCGAACCAGGCTTGGCAACGGCTTTCGAACAATACATCATTCCCAAATGCTTTGATCAAATCTCGATGAGATTCCGCGACTGTTTTTGCCCAGTTTAAAGTCGTAAAGTAGGCAGTCGGTTATCTAAAGTCGGTTATCTATTTGAAGTCGGTTATCTAAAGCAAGAAAAAAAGATCTTAAAAATAAGAAATTATCCGTTTAAAAAGTTTCCAAATATACACAAGATAACGTACTTTTAAATACAGAAAGACATTTTTGAAAAGCTTCCCTCACAACAATAAGTTTAGTAACGCTTCTTTATATCCGAACAACCTAATAGTTTGGCTTATTTTATGTCAATAAGTAGCCTGCTTTAATAGATTTCCTTTTGACTAACAGTAATTTGACATTAAATTAGTTTTCTATTAAATATTTTTATTTTACAATAACTCAAGTCGTAAAGAATTAACTTTCCTTAGGTTCGAGACTTCAGCACAATGCCCCGTGTCTTGGATGATGCCCTTTCGGCCGGGTATCGCACCTTTGACACAGCCCAGCTATATGGTGAGTGCCTCAAAAAGAACAAATATCTACCATTTCACTAGGTAACGAAGCAGCCACCGGTAACGCTCTCAATCAGCTCCTTCACAAACACGGATTGACAAGGTTTTGACAAAATTCGATCAAAAGCCTACTACTTCTAGAGCCGATGTCTTTGTCACTTCGAAAATCTCAGCGAATCATCAAGGAGCACGGGCAGAACAATCGATTATAGAGTTTGTGACTGAATTTTTCACTAAATATTGTATTCAGATCGTTAAACAAGTTAAATCTTGGATACATTGATTTGATGTTGATTCACTGGCCTAAAGCTAGTCCCGATGTTCCTTCAAATCCACATCATCATCAGATTGAGAGGAAGAAGACATGGCAAGTGATGGAGAAGTATTACAGTGAGCATTTTACAAGCCAGGTATCATTTGATTTTATTTTCAGGACTCGGCAAAATCAAAGCGATCGGAGTCTCGAATTATCTCATAAATCATTTGGAGGATCTCTTGAGCTATGCAACGGTTTTATCAAAGTTTTGTCTTGCTTTATTTGTTTAGATTTTCCCCGCTGTTAATCAAGCCGAATACAGTCTCAGCTATCAAATGAATGATTTGGTGGATTATTGTGCAAGGAAGGCAATTGTTTTCCAAGTAGGTTTAGGATTTTACAGTATTTCCAGCATCCTATCCTTTCAGGCCTACAGTTGTCAACTTGTTGCCACACGAAACAAGGTGCTCAATGTGGATCGAAGATTGACCACAATTGCCAGAAAATACAGCATCACACCGAAAATGCTTGAATATGCGTTTTCGTTGAATCGAGATATAAGGTACACTACTGGACAATGAAATATCATATTTGAAAAAGGATCGTCACTTTCGCGCGTCTGTAACTCCCTTGTCTTTACCGTGTTTCTAAATATTAATGTTACCATATTACCATTGTGTAGTCCTTGAAAAGAGCTTTCAGAAAATGCATAACACTAATAGTTTAAACTCAAAGACAAGGGAGTTACAGACGCGCGAAAGTGACGATCCTTTTTCAAATATGATATTTCATTGTCCAGTACTGTAGGTTTACTACAAATAAAGTCGAATATTCTGAAAATTGATTTCAGTGTTGTCATGGGATCGAAAACCGCTTCTCATATGAGAGAGAATCGAGCTTTGTTGAAAATTGTAAGATTTTTTAGCAAGCTTTCAGTTGAATTTGGGTTTAGAAATTGAGCCAAGAAGATCTCTCTGCTTTGCAACTGCCAAACGGGGTTACTGGACAAAAATCGACTGCGTGTCGAATGGACCCAAGATTGATTCGGTTTTAGATTTACATAAAGAAATCTTTTTATCGATTACAACTTGTGGTTTTCTCAAAATCTCTCGAGAATGATTCAAATTTACGGATTAGCCAATTACCCTAGAGTCTTTGTTTCTTTACTCTGCCAATTTCATGCATTCAATTTCAATTTCATGCAAATCAATTCCTTTTTCACTCAACATCATTTGCACTAACAAAAGAAAAAAAACACGAATAGACTACCACCCGTTTAAAGCATAAAAGAAAACATTATGAAAAGCAGAAAAGTTTTCTCGGGAAAACTCTGCATTTAAATCACAAGAGGGAAATTCTTTACACCGGAAAAATATCGATTGAGCAATGAGGAAATGATGCTGTTACAGCAGAAAAGTACAGTTTTCACACAAAAAAAACCAATCACATATTTAATTTCTGAACAGTTTTTGACTAGAAAGCGTCATCGAATAGGGCACTTGATTGGAAAAGAAAAGGAAAAAGGAAAAAGGAAAAAAATGAGACTAAACGTAAAAGTCATGAAGGAAAAATGACGAAAAGAGGACTAGGTTCTAAAATGATAAAGAGAATAAAAGGCTATGAGTCTAAATAACGGTACTATCAGTGTAAGAATCAGTGTCAGAAATGTTATTTGAGGATTGAATGATTCGAAATTGTTTTTTGAGCATTTTTACGAATAAACTAAAAATCTAGAGCTTTACAAGATGAATTGAATGACACAAAACTTGCAAAAGCCTGGAAAGATGTTCGCCTTTGGAAAGTCATCAGAAATTCAAATTCCAGACGACTCTGGGATTCCCTATACAATTCATCAAGTTCTAGAGCTTCAAAATCATCTAGTTCACATTTGTAGCTAAATTTTAAAACTCTAATCATCTCTAGCCTGACTTCAACTTTGGCCGTTATTTTCTACAGTTATTTTAGTCTCATGAGTGCTAGTGTATGAAAATCGGTAAAAGAATCCAACAAAGCAAGCCATTTCAGAAGTTTTGAAAGAATTTAAAGACCAAAACCGATCAAGATTTACATTTCCGATCAACTGAACATGGCCTGATTCATTCGAAATCTTGTAGCAAAGCTATGCAACTATAAAAGATAAAATTTCAAAGTTCTGTAAGATTTTAATTCCTAAAATCTATCAAAATACTACTAGAGCGCTAAACTCTCATGTGTTGCCGGGGCGAGCATCGTTTTACTCGTATGCAATGGTAGGAGAAGTGCCGCTTTGGCAGCTCTCCTCGTCGCATCACCTCGCCGAAAAGCTGTGCCATTTTGTTGAATAATCTGTTCTCCATTGTATCCATTCGATTTCTGAGCCATCAACATTTCTTTTTCTCGTGGTGGAGTAAATCTAAGATTTCTTTATTGTGATGGAACTCGCTTGGAAGTAGCATCCATAGCCTAAAAGAGGGTAATGAAAACATTTAGCTTCATGAGGTCGCTCCTCCACTCCAATTCCAATCCAAAAGTTATCGGTTGTTTTCAACTAAAATCCGCATAATATTCCTAAAAACAGTCATCCCCCTTATAAGATAAGATCATATCGCATCACCGCACCGAAATCATATTTCTTTCACAGCAATTACAAAACATATTTATTCAACATTTGTTAGAAGAAAAACTAGAAAAGCTACAAAAGCTTTATTCAACATTTGTTAGAAGGAGAAACGCAAAATCAAACACAAAAAATTCACAGAAGAATTAGTAAAGTTTTTCTTTTTCAAGAAACTGGTTAAATTTAACAATACGAAAAAGAAAAGCTAAATTTGAACATAATTTTTGCTAAGTAAAAAGTTCAAAAAATTAGCTGCCAACTGAGCTTTGCAAGTCGGTTGCAAACTCGACATAGAGATCCACTACATGCAAGTCGTACCATCCACCGCCGGGGAATCCTGATTAAATTGAAATCGGATTAAATTAATATCAATGAAAACCAAAAAATACACTAATTCTAATCTTATATCTGTACTAATGAAAGAAACGGAGAGATAGACAGACAAATGTTCAAGCTAAAAATATCAATCTAAATATTTGATACTATTGTGCAGATTTGGGGAAATATGTTACCTATTATCTGATATATTAAAGAAATAATTAATGCAATAACCAGCAATGTGACTCCTTTGACGATTATTCGACCCGTTTCGTCGTCGTCAAGAGGTGGCAATCTTTTGCGCTTGGTCGAGGTAACGATGAACTGACGTGCTTGATTGTGGTGAGGGTAGCGAAAGACATTTTCGACTGTTCCATACGTGAAGGAAAAGCCATATCGAATGCGGGTTCCGCGGTCTTGAAAGTTTCCGAGCTCTGGAAAAAAATACACTCTCGCGCTCATTTGCTCCCTTATCTAAAAAATAATTAACAATATGGAATCGAAAAAGAAATAAGAAAAAAAGTGAATAATTTCCGAATTGATGATAATGAAGATAGCGCTTTTCATGAAAAATAGAAGCGAAAATCGATAATTTTAAAAAATTTGAGAATTTCGAAGCTCTATAATTAAGAGAAAGTAGCAGAAAGTCGACAGCGCGTACCGTGAGGCATCCATTTTTAAATTTTAAGCTCAACTTGGCAGCTCAACTTTTTAAAATAAGAAATTAATGGAAATTGGCAAATGGCAACTGTTGGATGAAAATTTTTAAGCCAAATGGATGTCTTACCCTACGCGCTGTTTATATCGTGCTCCTTTGTCTTTGCTCATATTGTCTTTGCATTAATTTTTAATTGATTTTATTTGCGTCTCTTTTTACGTATTCTTCATTTGTTTCAAGAGATAAGATTTTTCGTTTAAGGTTTTTAGAACGTTCGAGACAGAAAACGTTTTTGTATATTTTCTTTGTATTTTCTTTAGAATCTTTTGATAGTAATTATGATCTTTATAGCGTTGTTTATTATTGGTTTTCGTGGAGTACTTTTCATTTTTAACTTTTCTTTTTCAGTCGTGTCAAGATGCAAGCTCAACTTTGTTTCTTCAAGGATCTCGATTCATTTCAAGTGGAGCCGAACTATTTGGAGCTGGTGTATCAAACGAATTCTTTTCGTTTTGTTTACCCGGACGATTTGGATCTTCGCAAATTTTCGGTGAAAGCGCTTGGAAACATCCAGGTCACTCTACCCCAAATGTTACTCCAGGTTCGATTTTTTTACATTTATGTTAAAACTAAACTTCATATACAGGGTGGCTGAAAATTACGTGCGCCAAAGAAAACGCCATAATTTAATTTTCTTTCAAATTTTCCAATGTAAAAATATTTATTTATATAATAGTTGTAACAAAAGCATTTAATAATCACAAGAAATTTTGGAAGTGGCCTCCATCCGCTTTGATACAGGCTTCAATTCGCTTTACAGAATCGACGGTGCGGCGGAGATAATTTGCATCTTTCGTTCCAGATTTTGATCAATTCTCGACGTAAATCATTCAAATTGGTGATTTTCCTATTTCTCAATTGTTCTTCCATGAAACCCCAAACCGAAAAGTCCAACGGATTGAGATCCGGGCTGTTTGCAGGCCATTGATCCTTCGTCAAAAAAGAGCCAATTTTGGTTTCGAGAAAGCGAATTGTTGTTTTGGCTCCGTGGGTCGGCGCCCAATCTTGTTGAAGGGTCAAATTGGGATGGCTCCTCTTCCATGGCACCACAGCTTTCTCGAGAATCTCTTTTTGATAGACTTTTGCGTTAATCTTCATATTTTTATCGATAAAAACCAACGGGGTCTTGCCCGAAGCACTGATTCCACCCCAAACCATCAAACTTTTGGAAACAGACTTTTTGTAGCGACTTTTCGTTTACGAGTGCTCTTGAGAGCTGGACTGAGAAGTTGACGGTGATTTTGTGTTTTTAGTCACTTCCAAGGTGAAAATCTTCTCATCTGACCAAAGAACATCGTCAATGCGCCGCACCTTGAAAAAAGCTCGCAATTTCTTGCATTTCTCCTTCCGGTTTTGCTTGGCTTAATCGGTGAGCACTTGCCCGTTTAACAGTCGATAACTTCGAAGTCCGAGCTCATTTTTCACTATCGATTGAACCGAGAAACGCGAAATTTGAAGCTGTTTTGCCATCTTGTTCAAACTACGATCGTCTTTTCGCTCCATCCTCCTCTTGATGATCCCACGCATCTTTCGGGTGTTAACGGTCCTCTTTCGTCCTCTTCCGGGCTTGGACTGAACATGCCCCTCATCTTTCCATTGCTTTACGATCTTCTGGACGGTCCTCAGAGCCACCCCAAGCCTCGATGCGATCGACGAGTTCTTCATGCCGCTCGTCGCCAGCTGTGCGATTGCGTCTCGACTAGCGCACGTCTTTGTCATGACCTAGAAAACAACTTTTTTAACAAAAAATTATTAGACAACGATAAAAAGAATATTAAAACACAAAAAGATGAGTAGTAACGCTTTATACATTGTTTAAAACTATGATGCTGATGCTGCGCGCACGTAATTTTCAGCCACCCTGT